GAATCACCGGCTCCAGTATCAAATCATTGTGAACATTAACTTAAGTGCTAGCACCAACGGGTTGAGTTCATGATAATTCAAATAAAACTGATAAAAAAATTCATAAACACACAGAAACAGTTACCCGAAGACTCAACCTCCAAACAAATATGAAACCACGTAACGATTTCATACAACACCTCCGAAAACAGACGATATGTGTGTGTGAGTGTGTGTGTCAATGTGTGTGCAAGTAATAGATATAATATTACAACCAACACAATACGAACAGATATCTTAACAACAAATATGAAGGAAAAAGCCAAGGAAACCTCGTATGAATTTGTGTGAATTAGAGGGCGGCCCAAGCGCTTGGAAATTTCCTTTTTCTGCTCAAGAGCTTTTTTGGCGGCGTCACGGTCGGGGTCCAATTGCTTCAGCCCCACGACCAGCACCAGGCAACTCATGGCGGCGCTCGCCGCGTACAGAATCAGCTCTTGTACGAATTTTGTCTCGCCTGAGCCGCTCTTCATTTTTTCTTCGTGTTAATTTCTTTACACTATATTTTTGTTTGTTGATTTATGGAGGTTTGGGTATTGGGATGTCGATAGTGTTGGGAAGATAGAAGAGCGCCCTTGTGGAAGGGGACAAGGTTCCGTGTGTTTTGACGGTGGTAACGGCACTGTTATGCTTTGTTAATTTGGTTTATGTGGCTTGGGCTTTGATGGATTGACCCAACAAATTATGGCCGTACGAGACATCAACTCCAATTATGGGGTAATTAAAATTGTGGAGATTTCCTACACCAGCTCATCTTCACGCGTCAGGGGACGCGCCCCTCTTCTTCTCCCCTCAATAAAAGAAAAACCAGTCGTCTTCTCCAATTTTCGCCGCCCCTCCTACACCTACAAGCTCGCCACCGCACCGCTGGAATAGAAGCTCGTTGTTTCGGGGCTGAGGACATTTCCGTCTCCTCCGGGCTTTGTGGGAGATTGAGTTGGACAGCTCTCGCCCCCGCTGGGTCCAAGTTGCTTCTCCACCTAGCCATCCCCGGCCATGGACGAGACCGCTGGCAGCAAGAGTTCAGGCCCAAGCCTCGAGGAGGTTCCGACCATTGTTTCGCCGAGAGTTTTGTTATTCATGTTTTGGGTCCTTTGGTGCGGCGTGTCGACCGTTCGATCCCTCTTTCGAGCACTCCGGCGAGGACGAGTTGGTGTTCTCACGGCGGCTTCTTCTCCTCTCCAAGCGTGGATGGTTTTTCAGAGTCCAGATCTGAACCGAGAGCAGTCTCTTCTTCAGATCCGTCTAGGCGGCACGAGTAGCCGCAGTTTTCGGGCTTGAGGTTCTGATTTGTGGTTTTGTTGGATCTCTTTGCTTGTGGATGTGGATCGTGTGCGGTCCCGGGTGGTTAGGCATTGAGTTGGTTAGGTGTAGGGGAGGTTCTAGTTTATTTGTACATTAGGTGTGTGTTTCTTGTTTATGGTTTTTGTGTGTTAGTCCAGCTTGTCTGGTTTATCTCCTTTATGGAGTTTAGTTTCCCTTTGTGGAATTTCGTTTTGGGTTGCGGTTGCCTCCTTGTTGGAGTTGTACCTCTTGAATTCCTCCGGATATTCAAGAGGGTAAGTCCAGTTATCTGGTTCTTTGGTATCAGTTGACATCGTCTCCGTACTCTTTTTGAGTTTTCTAGTAATATATTTGTTTGTCGTTTGAAAAAAAAAAATTGTGGAGATTTCCAATATGCTTGGATATAAAATTTTTTTGATTTGTTTCGATTTATTTTTGATTTTTTTTTATTTGGTTAATTTTAAAAAAGGTGTATGGCTAGTTGTTAATGAGTATATTAAAATATTATTTAAAATAAATAATTAAAGTTGATTTGATATAAAAATAGGAGAGAGATTATTTGAAGTGATGGTTAGTTAAAATTATGTGAGTGGATGAATAGTAAATTAAAGTTAATGTTGTGTGTAAGAATAATTGATTGATATTATTTAATTATATTGATAATATTGATGATAGTGAGGTTGATTTAAAGTTGAGTTAAAAAAAGTGATTGAATTAAAAATGATTGATTTGTTTGGATAAATTTGCATCCAAGCAACACTAAAGATTTTTTTAGGTACATGCTTCGATATTTTAATTAAAAAAAAAAAATCAGATATAACTCAAATCTAATTTAAATTTGAATAAACTTCACTATACTCTATGGCCATCGAAGGGTCTGAGTTGAAAAAAAAATATTAATATAATTAAATAAGGGCAAGCGTATTTCACACCCAAAAATATTTAATTAACTTGAAATTCGAGGTTCGGCTAAAAGGTTTCAGAAAAAGTCTATCGGCTCCGTTGAAGATTATCGTCTCGAAAGTTATACGTTGCCCCCGACAATTTGGTTTAAGGGCTGAAATTGAAAAAATTGAGAAGGAGAAAAGAAGTATTCTTTGGCCACTGAGGAGGAGAATTTCGAGAGGGTGAAGGGATTAACAATAGCCGAACGGTTACTTTGATGGAGGTTTAATGAGAGGAGGAGATGAAGTGATTGATGGAGTGTAACTGAAGTAGAGAAATTCGTTTGTTGGAGTAACGTGGAAGAGAGAGTGGACATATTTTGACCGATCTCTTCTTCAACCTCTCATCTCTTTCCTTTTCAAATTTGATTATTATCTTAAGTTACTCTTAATAAAGTCTTACCATAATTTCTATTAGGAAAGCTAAATAGGATATTAATAAAAATAATAAAAAATTTAATGGCTATATTTATACTTAATGGTGAAATAAAATAAAAAGATGTCTATTTAGAAAAAAAACGGTATTTAAAATAACCAGGCGCTACACCATGTCCATTGTATTATATGGATTAGAAGAAATAATATAATTTGGCGAGGTAACCAGGATACGAGAGTATCATTTTAAATAATAGTAGCCATGATGATAAAATAACATCATCATCAACAACAAAAACTAATGTAAGTTTGTAAGAAATATTAACTAAAAATAACAACTTATCCATTATTTTTCTTAAATTTAGCTATATGTTTTTTATTAACATCTGTATAATACACGAGTATACTCTACTAGTTAAAACTTCCAAACATTGTAATGAACGTGCAAGTATGTCATTAGATTATTGTCAAATTGTGTGAGATACTCTTCAGACCGGTCTTCAAATAGTTGCACACATCGCGATGCAACATATAGAGTTGGATGTTGTCATCGCCACCCTTCTAATATTGGGATAACAAGGCTCATAGCAGATTCTCCGTCCACTATTAGAGACATACACCTGTCAATCCATCACAAGATCACAAACATTATGTGAGAGGAACCAATCGACTAATTTCTAGCTTGACTGAGAGTTATAGACCAAGAGAAATGCACATTCAAAGCTGCCACTGCACCGCTTTGCCTACTTGGACTCGTGCAGATGGAACAATTTGACTATCCTTCTTTTCGCTTTGTTTAGGCTAGGTCTTTAATTTTAGCTTTACTTTAACCCACAACAATGGTGCAAATTGTACTACTAGGCACTTGTTAGTCCAATTTGTTAATATTTAATTTTGTTTTCTTTCTTCTTCCGATACTATGTATCGAGGGGGTTTAGGTCCTCTTTTGGTCGAATCTCATAGGTAGATAGATTATATTTTCACCCGTTTCGATCTTTATCCATTCGACGGTTGAGATTGAGAATCTGGTCTCAATCCCCGTCTTTTGGGATGCATTTTCTTTTTTAAAAAAAAAATAAAATTGAGTGAAACNATTATGATTGTAATATTTCCTGCTTAGTAAAAATCCGAATTCTTACATCAAGGGTAAAAAAGACCAAAATTAATTCATGAAAAATGTAGTATAAACTCTTGTGAAAACACTTTTCTTCGAATAATGCTGGACAATAATGAAACAACACTATTATTTATAATGTGAAAAATATCATGCCCAAAGCAAGGTAACTACGACAAACATCAAGAATGCCAACCCGAAACAAAGCCCAGCAATCACCACAAATGCCTGTAAAAATGACAAAATATGACCAAAAAGCATTCACGAACATGCAAGAACTCTAAACACGTAATAAAAATTCGTCAATCATCAGATACATACCTTTCCCTGGGACTTAAAACCAAACTTTACAGTAAACCAAGATAACCCTCTACCGACAAACGGTGCAAGTGCTAGAGCCCTGCCAAGAATAATTCAGACAAAAAAGGTTCAAATGTTAAGATCTAAATGGGTGCGTAATTATTATTTTGTGAACGCATCATGGTTTTGGAAGTGCCCTAACCAAGCAGCAGATAGAAGCACAAAGATATATAATTACTGTTTAACATTTGAAAAATGAATTCCTAGGAACATCAGAATAGGCACAATCATACCAAATACAAACAGTAGATTACCGGCATATTCATATGTCGGAAGAATCCTTGTCGAAGGTAGATAGACATCAGCTGCCAAACTTTCTTAATACATATACACTTACATACATACATACATATATATATATATATATATATATATATGCATAATGGAGTAGCTTAGGTAAAAATTATGGTGAATCCCACAAATTCTGATAGGAAAAGAGAAAATACATAAAATTCGGGCAAGTGAATCACAATACCTAGTTGTTGCACAATGCTTGCATGATTCAGCTGTCCTATGTTTTTCTGCCAACATAGATATATACTTCCAGACTTGAAAAAATGTTCTTCTGACTTTCTTGCCATTATTTATTCAATGTTCCCAAATACAGATTCACATTAACACAAATAGGTATAGCTTGCAGAAACCAAATTAACCAGTCTTGATAAATTATAAGAATACCACACACATAAATGCATCCAACCATAAAAATGCAGTAAACCAAAGCTACCCATTGCAATACTTAAGATGTTATGGGCAACTCACCCTCCAGCTCGAATAAGCTTAGTTACTTGGCTTCCTGCCCACACCATTGCCATTACCTTGACAAACCTGCAAATAACAAAAACTTTAATAAATTGTACTTTGAACCCTAGAGAAGCCTTAAAAGACTGTTCTACCTTTCGACGCAAGCCAAATAACCCATTCTCCCAGGTGCAGGAGCAACATAGAACCTGTCGAGTCAGTTCATAACAAGTGGGTCAAATCCTAGCAACATAAAAACAATACAACAATATAATTATAGAACTTGTGAAGACTAAGGCAGCATTTTACTGTATAACATTTGGTTCTTATATGAGCCAGTCATAACATATTACTACATGACGAACAATAACTGCTGTATCTAGCAGGAAGGACATTTGATATTTTTATGTTTTTTTCTCTTCTATTTTATACTTCTAAGTGAATCACTCACCAGACAACGAGAAACGTAGTCAGATAGTAAACAGTATTTAGCAAGCCATAGGACAAAATTCCAGAGATACCGTATCTCTTCAATCTTGTCAATATCCTGTTAGCAGACAGAAAGAGATTTAGGAATTAAAGGCAGATGACCCTCAATTTGGAAGTTGGAAATAACATTTCACTGGTAAAAGAAACACGTTTGCAGGGTAATTGATTGGCAAAAGAAACACATTTGCAGAAAATTCAGTTTACGTTTAACAATGAAAAATGCAACAAGCACAACTCGTACATTACATGAACTTACAATACATAAACTACTCCACGAAGCAAAATCAAAGCTCCAGGAAAAATGGCATTCAAACATGTATAGACAGAGACAAATAATACTAGAAAAGTAATCATCAGCATGATGCATGCAGAGTTACACAGTCCACAATTAGTTTTTAGTCCTCACTAGAAAACAAAACCTTGCAAGGCCTATAGATAGTACTCTTTCGAAGAAAATGCTAGAAACCTTCCTTCTTTTCTTCTTGAACCTGACAGAAAGAGATTTGAAATTCTTTCAGGAACATAAATTTTCCTGTCGTAAACATGGTACATTCATATAATTTAATATAATTGTCATGTAGTAACCAAAAGGTACCCTGCTTCTCCACTGAACTGCTGCCAAACTCAGTTGACTCTTGCTTCTAGCATTGCACCAAATGATGCGTATTAGAAAGACCATAAAATTGATGCATTATAACAGTTAATACTGACCTGGACTCACTTAGATGCACATAAATAGAATGAGACGTATTGAAAACGATGTTTATCAAAATAACCCAGGTAAAATAATCCACCCACTAAATAACAAAACAGTGAAGGAAAATTACGGTAACCACCAGTAAACTCTATTTGGTCATGCCTATGATTAAGGCAAGAGATAATTATAGTATAACATAACACAAGTAACGAAACGAACAATAAGAATGGTAGAAGAAAGTATATGTTGTTAGTCAAACAAGTTTGCCGCTACAAATTGGGGTATGTTTGAATGCCATTACGTTTGAAGATATTTCACCAAGAATTTTGAGATTTTTAAACCATTTATTATAATATCACACGTTTCACACGCTTTCAATTTTCCTCCCACCAATCACCTCAATATATTCTAATACAACATCACCAATTAGTTTGTATGCTTAAAATTTTGCTTTGGTTTTAACGTAGTTCATTTTGTAAGAATCATAAGTCAAAAGTTGTAGTTACATATTATTTCATATATGGTAATGCACATTGTCCATATTGTAGGTAATATGGTATTTAGTGTCACGTAGAAGATAATATTATCGATTCCTTATATAAACTAGTGCGGTACCCGTGCGATAGCACGGGCTAGATTTATTAAGAAAAGCATTTATATTTAGATGATTGGATGATTGGAAGAACGTAAAACGCATGTATTGGAATAAAACAAAATGTAATTTATATATTATTAAACACATCCTTGTACACAACATTCTTTGTTTGTTCTTTTTGTACATCGTCTATCGCCACAAATTATATTAAGATTCTAGATAGGTTTAAATAATTAAACTATTTAGCATCATATAAATCATTTAGCAGGATATATATGATATGATTTATACTGTTTTTATGGAGATTGCATAGCCAAATATAACGGAGATTGTAAAATGTCTTTCTTGATAATCTATAACCTTATTATTTTAAAATTGTAAATTACTTAAAGGAAGAGGAAAATTGTGTAAGTGTATGCAATCAATTTCAAATTTGTATTCTAGAGGATTAAACAAAACCCTAATTTTTAGAATGTTCCAATCCGATTTCATTTTGAATTTCAAATTGATATTATTAGGTAAAGATATATGTTATAGTATTTTGTCTAAGTCGAAATTCACGATTTTATGGTAAATAGATTTTTTTAATAAAAATGAGAGAATTTTGATTTTTACAAAATTGTTATGTTGAATTTTACCTCAATTAACCCGATTTCTATGCAATTCGATTTTTTTTAATAAACAATTGATTTGATCTGTTGCAATAAGGAAAAGATATATGTGATAGTATTTTGCCTAATTCGAAATTCCCGATTTTATGATAACCAATTTTTTTTAAAATAAAAAATGAGAAAGAATTTTGACTTTTGCAAAATTTTAAGCATAGGTCAAAATTTACCTAAATTAAATCCACAAAACTCATGACACATATAGTTGATCGATTTTTTGGGAATAATTTAAAAAAAAAATTCAAAAACTGCCAAAAATAGAATGCAATAAATGCTGGTTGACATTTTTTGTTACTATTTTTGTTAAATAGGTTGACTCTTTATATATATAGATAGATAGATATGGTTCATGACCGAGATAACAATGGGCAAGATAATAAAATTAATGAGTAAAACCTCTTCATACAAAGTTTAAATTAGTGTCCACACTATCGCAGCATAAGAATTTCTTGGTGTGTTGAAATGTTTGTAAATTTGAGGGATCAATATTAGTTTAAATTTATTTTTTTACTAGAAACTATTTTGCACAATTCCCATGATTATAAATGTCTTTCAACTCAGTTGTTATATTTATAGAGAATATACTTACTAGTCCAAATTATATTGATCGAAAACACAACTTGTATAGGTACACGTGCTCTATGAGGTCTCATAACTCTAGTGATATAGAGAAAGAGGCATATAAGAAGTGAACCAAGGCAGACGAGATTGTGCCTCCTCTTACAAATGTTTGAATTAGTATACGTTCACACTATCGCGGTATACGAATTTTCTTGGTGTTTTGAAGTTTTTTGAATTTCATTATATTGTTTGATGGATCAATAATAGTTTAAATTCAAAAAATATACTATAAGTTATTTCGCGGTATACGAGCATTGGGTATATAAAGAGTGACAGAAACATGATGCTATTTCTTGTAATGTACGTTGATGACAGCATGCTCAGTATAAAAGTGTTCAAAAGTAAGAGCTTGGTTATTCAAGAAGTTTCATATGAAGGATGAGAAGTGGTTTATATTCTTGGGAACAAAGGTGTACTAGATCACAAGAAATTTATGTTGTGTTTGTCTCATACATAGATATGTTCATAGCTCATTTTAGTATGTTGAATTCCAAAAAAAGCTTTTTACCTTTCAGCTACGGAGCCCTTCTATCTAAGATGTGTCATAAGACACCTAAGAAGATGACGAATATGTAAACAATTCTTGAATGGTTTTGTTCTAGGAAGCCTAACATATTTTATGTTATGCACAGGGTGTAACACCCTGCCTATTATTACTAGAGTTAATAAAATCAGAATAAATTTTTGCGCTTTATAACTTGAAAACACTTATTTAATTTTTGAAGAACTCTTACTAATTTTTCGAAAACACGTTATCTTTCTGTTATACTAGCTTCTGGTCGGAGACCCAAATCACTAAGGTACTGACGAAAACCTTCGGAATGATGCACCCGTACGGATGAGGATGACTAGCAATTGTGGCTCGACTCAATGGGACACGGCACCTGGCGACGCGACACGTTGTATGCGGCACACTCGCTACTCGGGAACCTCAGGCACCTGCATGCGGCACCTGCGTGTGATGTACCCGCGGCGTCAGTATCACCGACAATCACGAACACAGTCGCATCCATGTCATGCTAGTAGCTTCACTGTACTGCGGCGCTAAGTTCCTACAGCCACCCAGTGCACTACGACTCGGATCTAGCTTCTTATGGCACAAACCGAGATTCAACTGCACCGATTGAAATCTACTAGCACAAGGTAATATCGTCTCAAGGCTAAAGCTCCTCTGTTCTTCCTTTCCTTTCACAAAGTTTGCCATTTCATACACAAATTCTCCACTTGGTACTAAGATACGGTCGCCCGCAACTGAGAGAATCTTCCACTTTGCTCGCTTGGCGATTCTCTCATGCTTACCGATTGTTTGTCTCTTTGCAATCCTTTCCTCGAAGCCTAGTCTAAGGCTAGTAATGTAAAGACACCACCAATTCTTAGAGATGACTTCATCACCTCAACTTCCTTCCTACTGTATGATCTTCTGGTTGAGTTCTCTTGCTTCCTCACTTGAAAACTCTCTTTGTATTAGATACGTCACTCGAACTTCACGGCCTATCCTCATCGAAAGGGACAAGGTAGGCCATCTTTAAAATTTTCTCGAAGAATCTCATGAATGTTGTTGTTGAGGCGTCGAGCCCCTCGACTTCCTTTGGAGGGTGTCCGAGCTTCAATTTGATCTTGGAACGTGTTGTCTTCTTGCATTGGGTCAACAATTTTTTGACTCCCAAAGTTGATTACTTACTCTCCTCCTTGAGTCTAATAAGCTTCCGATCATGGGTGTACGTCTTCTTTTCTTCATGAACCAACTGGCGCACCTTACGGTGACGCTCTTGGTCTAACCATTCGCAACTCAGAGGCTCTTGGATCTGGGTCTGGAACTCCCTGGCGCCCCTCTGTACGGCGCTTTTGACACTGGTCCTACTCCGACACTAGGTCAATTGGATCCCACCTGTCGGTCAGGTGGTCTTCCCGATAACAGTTTTCGAAATACGTCCATGAAATTACGAACAATGGTTAACTCTTCGGGCGTTGACAGTGAAGTATTCTCTCTTCACGACTTTTCGAAATTTCCCTATCGGCATTTCGTCCATCAGTTCACAAACTTCAAACTCTAGTGTTGTGGCGTTCGGCATAGGTATGCGAAACTTATAAGTCTTTGTCACATCATCTTCAACTCCTACATGTCCGAGGGTTGATCCTACTTCTTGAGTAAAGGCGTTTGCAACTCCCACTCAGCTTCCTTTGGATCCTCTGGCAACTGCTACGGTCTGTCATCTGAGTATTCTCGTACTATTGGAAATTTTCTGGGTAACGGCTTCTTCTTAGTATTCTCAACAATGGTTCACCAAGGCAGTCTCTCTCTCTTTCTCCGTTATCGAGATGGCTCGTCGCATGGTTTCTGTCATAACTGCACAAGATGATCTCTTTTTCTCTGTAGCGTCGCTTACCTATCTTTCAAAAATGTTGAACTATAGCAACAACTTGCATTTCTTAGCTTTTTATAATATTGATACAACATGGATATTGCAACGAGAATTAAATAGACATATAGAAAAGCATCCAACATTTTCAGTCTCAACTTCAAACTTCAACAAAGTTTCAAGATGTGCAAAAATCCATACAACAAAAGGTTCCCAAACGAGTTCACAGAACGGAACTAATACAACTAAATAAAACTACGTCCATCTTCTTGAGTCTTCTAGAGTTTGGCCCCTACTGATTCGGTTGTCCTGCACACTCTGGGCACAAGTGTGCACTGAAAGGCTCTGTGTCTCGGTTTCTAGCACCGATAGCAGCGGATGTTCTGTCCTGCTAAGCATACTCCTCCATGCCTTCGCTCGCTCGCAGGTGGTACACAGGGGGGGTCTGTCCCCCGAGCCCCGCTGTCGGCTTCTCTTATCAGGTTGCTTCATCTTCCTGATCCCCTGGGGCAGTAGCTATTTGAGCTGTTGGCTGCGACGTCGACTGTGTTGCGGGTTGTTGGCCTTGGTTTCCAGCAACTTGTTGAACTCGATGGACAGTCGCGACCATCGTCATGGTGCCGTGGTTCATCACCACGTGCCTGATCTCCTCATGGACGCCATCGCCTTCTAACATGTGAACCCACTCATCCACCACGAAGGGTCCCATCTGACTTGGGTAAACTGGCGGGTGGAAGCTCTGAGAATGCATCACCGAATGGGTCTGGGTCAATCCTGGCATAGGCTGACTCTGGCTGGTGGGGACTGTGATTTGCCATTTCTTGCACAAAACATTAAAAGGTTTAAAACTTGCCTAAACTCAATTCTAACGTTAAAAACGCGATCTTGTGGCTCTTATACACCGACAACGGTTATCATCGATACGCATTAGAAGGTATTTTACCAAAGCATAAATCGAGACCACCTCTAGAGATATATCTCACTTAAAGCTTAACTAGAGTTCCAAACTTAATCTAGAATTCTCATACTAGGGTTCTAATACTTAACCTCTAGG